GCAGAGATAGTAAAAATGGATGCTGATGCAAAATCAAAGCACAAACCCCTCCCTGCCATAACAGTAAGAGCCCTCCTGTTTTCTGACAGAAGGTTTGGCTGAGCTACATTACAGTTCTTGGGCAGGTGTGTAGGCCTGAACTGGGCTTGTTTAGTTGAGGGAATAGTAGAAGGGGCAGCTGCTTTTGTGAGAAGGTGGTACTTACATCCCAAGGTGTGCTTATGGGGAATCCCTGAGGCCCCCAAAGCAGTGGTGTGCTGGTCAACCAGCTCTCTGGCAGGGCCGGGGGTGGGGAACCCTGATTTGTAGTGTTTGCTTTGCTCATGGTAGAAATACTCCACCACAGCTGATCTCAAGCCCCCAGTGTGATCCATGAACACACACCTGGGAAGAGATGTGTGTGCTGGGCTGTCCCAGACAGCACTAGAGGCTCCAGTGCACCACAAGACCCAAATCACTTCAGGATGAGCTGCATGTGAGCAGACCATACCTCCCCGTGATCTTCCTTCCCCCACAAGCCTAGGCCTCAGCCTCCTTCACCCCAACCCTGCCCAGAGGCATCGGCTGTGTGGTCTCTTCTCCTCCCGGTCAGCCTCCTTCATTATGTAAGGATGGAAATCTAACTCCTCTGGCTTGTCTTCCACTGCCCCATGCAGGTCAACAAGACGACTTTGCTTACTTCGTGGGGAGGAAGCCCCATGGTTCCCAGAGTATGTTTAAAAACACATTCCTACGCCTATTCTAACTGAATAGAAGTGAAAACACGGGAAGCTTTCCTGTTGCTAATTTGCCTCATTTGGAATCCCAAGGAAATGGCAAGGCCATTTAATGCTAACTAACACCCATGCTGTCCCAGATGCAGCCTCTTCCTGCGGATGTGTTTAGGTCTTAATAGAGGGTCCCCAGGGGGTGTCAGGAAAGGGGTGTTAGCGTTTCCTTTTGGTTTGGTTTTGGTTTACACAATAAATGGGGAAGGGAAACTATACTACATTAGATGCTTGTGGGTACTGTCCTCCTGCAAGGGCGGGAAGTCCCACCCACCCAAAATGGGGGCAGCACTCCAGGGGAAACAGTGGGGAAAAAAAAGGAGAAAGTGTTATTGAAAGTAAATTGGAATAAGATGCTCCTGAGTATTAATTCTTCATTCCTCTTACCCATTACATATGGTTGTGGATAGTGTCTTCCTCTATATGATTCAAGATAAAATTGTGAGTAAGTATAATTTCCTGGCTCTCTCCGCAGGTATTGCCTGCTCCTTGCAGCAATTTGCCACAAATCCTCACCGAGATATTCTCCAGGGATGTTACCGTGACATTCAATCATTTTCAAGAACCAGATTCCAGGACTAGTTGTCCCCAAATCCCAAGCAGTTATTTATTTGGGACTTTAAAGTCAGAATGTGGTTAGAAATCTTGGCAGCCAACTCCTCTCTTTCTGGCTAATCAGGTAGCTGAGGTCTAGAGTCTTTTGAAGGAATGATGGAGGCAAACATACACAGTCTGCCTGAGCATGGAGTCTAGGAGACTCTGCTGAAGGGGATGTCCAGTTTCCCGTGGAAGGTGACCTGTGTATGCCACAAGGTGGATGAGCCCAGCGCAGGCAGGTGGAGCGGGAGGACCATCCCTGGCTGGGGAGGACTCGGCACTGAGGAAGCCCTAAGCCTTCTGAACAACTCTAAAAGCAGACACTTCCACTTCAGGTCTGAACCTTGGCTCTGCACTCATTAGCCTGATTGAGTCTGGGTTTCCTGTGGGGGCATCTCCACCCTGGGGATGCTGTAAAATTACAGTGCCTGCCACACATCTCAAGGATTAAATGGTGGCTGTTTCTAAAATAACTCTCACGGGTACCCTGCCACTGTGGCCTTGCTGACACCCCCACATCTGCTCCCAGGGGCTGGATCACAGGAGGGGCCACTGAGGAACACCTTCATGTTTCCCTGGAACTCCAGAGTGGTTGGTTGGCTGGATACCAAGAACAGCAAACATACAGCACCTACTGCATGCAGGCACTGTTCTAAGGACATCATTTACATCATCACTATCCCAGGAGGTAGCATTATATTCACCCCTTTTAGTAAATGGGGAAACTAGGCACTGGACTGTTAGGCAGGTGGCAGCACTCAGCCAGAAAGTGGCAGAGCTGGGATTTGAACTTAGGTGGTCTGACTCCCAAGTCTGTGCTCTCAGCCATTAGCCTGTATTTTGCTTCTCAAGGCAAAGATGAGAGGGGAACCTTTTCGTGGATTCTGGGTGCTAAGAGATGATGCCCTTTGATCACAGATATTAAAATGAGTTTTTTCACCTTGATGCCCCTTAGAGAAAAGTCACAAATTGGTAAAACGCTGAACACTGTACTAGTACCTCGCCTATCCCATTTTGGAAAACCTAGGCACCAAATAACAAAGGAGCAAACTGGTGAAAGAAAATAAAGAAAATCCCAAAATGCGTCAGTGCAAGAACCTCCCCCACACTGAATTAAAACTTCTAGACCAGAAAGCAGCAGCCACCTTCGCTCAGGCACATGGCGTTGGCAGCAGTACCACAGAAGCTTCGTTTTATTCATATTGCAATTATAAAAGCAGTGTAAATACACTCAGATCAGATTAGGGGAGAAAGTGCCTTTAACCCCACCCATCAGGTAAAGTCCTGGCTATTGTTTCAAGTGGTCCTTTTTCTGGGCGTTTATACATTGCTTCAGACCCGTCATTGTAATGATACCCGGATTTGTACCCAGGATAGCCATCTGTTTTTAGATGGAAGGAGGGACCCTTCTTGAGGGGTAGATAGACGGCAAAATGGAGCACAGTCAAAGGAAAAGCCCAGTCCCTCTGCCAGAGGAGGGCGTTTCTCTAGGTGGCTCATCGGAGGACTGGAGATGGAGGTGGTGGGTCTGCAGCTGAGTCCTCCTGGGTCCCTGTTCTGTGGTAACAGCACTGCAAGTCTGGAAAGAACATGGCATCTGGATTTCCCAGTGTGCTTCACTGTGAGAAGTTCTGCCCACTGGGTCAGCTGAGCCCACAGACACCAGGAAGGACAATGCCGGTGCTCAGATTAGGGACTACAGCGCTGGGAGCAGCCGGTGGGTCAAAATCCTGCTCTGTGCAATTTGGGGCACCTGAAAATACCTGACTCAGCACGTTTATGTTCCTTGTAAGGTGTTAAGCCGAATAACATGCTGCTTTCTAGACCAGGGGACTGTAATAGCAGCCTAATAATTAACAGTAAAAAGTAAAAAACAAAAACAAAAACAAAAAAACAATACAACAAAGAAACCTGAGCCTATGGGAAGGCCAGATTTCAGTTTCTCTGCATGACTGATGGACACTCTGTGGATGACAGATTCACCTCTGCCCTTGTATCACGACACTGTGTCTATGAGCATTAAGACTCCACACTCGCATGCAGGGCACCCGAATGTAATTTCAGTAAATGCAGAGCCAGTGTGGCCTGGAGTTGTGTTTCACCTGGCTGACATGCTGCTTCAAATAAAGAGAATTTAAAGACCAGGAGACTGTGTGGAAGTTCACTGCTGATTTGCTGACAGCCCCTTCTTGTTTTGCTTATTGCCAAGGTTTCCCTTGTGTTCCTCGTGCAAATTGTCTTCACAGTGAGACAGTCCATGGTGGTACGGCGTAGAACATGAAGCCCAGTTACTTGACCTATTTCCTGTAAGCCCATGTAAGGCTGGGGGAATTTCTCCCAGACTGCTCTCTTTCTGGAATTTGCAGCACAAAGTGAGATGGAGTCCCCGCAGTGGCCTGGGGACCTGTTTTCCTCAGGCCTCTGCCCAGCGCCTTTGTGGCCAGCTCACAGACTGGAAAGCACAAAGGTGGGAGAATGACTTATGCTCCGGGTCAACTCTAAGCACTAGGGAGAAATTATTCCCATCTGTGGGTCCTCCACCCACCCCCAGCCCCAACCAGCCATGGGACCACTATGAAAATTCCAACTTTCAGTAGCTGTGAAAATTGAGACATTATTATCGTCCCCTCTGTGCTTTTCAATTCATGTGGCAGGGCCTTTGCGGGATGCCCCAAACTTGGTTTGCACAATACCTCTTCAGTGAGACTCAATTATTTTTCTGTTTCTATAAAGTTATTTTTGAAAAATTATTACATGATTTATGATAGGAAACTTGGAACAATATAATCATGTTTAAAGGAGAAATAATTACAGTAACAAAATCCCAAAGCATCACTGTTAAAATCTTCTTTCTTTGTATTTTTAGCAAACTTAGGTGGGATTATGTGCACATCATTTCTCTTCTGCTTTGAAGCCCAGGAACATCCTAAACATTACATTCCTGTTACTAAAACCTCTTCAGAAATATTTCAATGGCCAAAAATCATTCTATTCTATAGCTGCATGACTATTTACTAGACATTATTGTTGATCATTTGATGTTTCCAACTTTTATTAATTATAAGTGTAGCACTGCAGTGAACATCTTTGCACATAAAATATTTTTTTCCCCTGCATTTCTTTCATTTCTTTGGGACTGGGTCCTAGACACAGAATTCAAAGCTTAAAGGGTGTGACTATTTTGAAGTCTCTTGATATACATTGCTATGAGGTGCGCTAGGAAGGCACACTTTCTTTTATTTAATTTTGTCATGTTTCTTTAAGCCTCGGAGCAATATGTTCAATGAACAGGAGCACACATGGCATCATGGACCTCAAACAAGAAGCAGAGTCACCTTTCTCATTTCCCCTCTACTTTATGGGGGCAGTTATTACAGGAGGACAGGAGGAGGGAAGTCAGGTGCAGCAGCTATAAGGAGGCCAAATGATTTCCAAGTACTGATAGAGAAGAAGACACCAGATAGGTGGTGATGCACTTAGGAGAACTGTATGCAAACCAGAGGGTGGGGCAAATGCCTTTCCTATAGCCTGTGTGCCCAAAGCCTCATATTGTTCATTCTCATCCTTTATAAGGAGAAAGTCAGAATTTTTCCCATAAAACCAAAGAATTTCAGACCAATAAACAGAATTTCTCACCTTTCGGAGTCTTGCAAGGAGACCTGCTACATGCTCATGCTGTTCTGATTTAGCAAGATCTTCTGCTGTCTTTCCATCCTGTTGGAGAAAAATGATTAGTTTCTGTTCTTCGCACAAGAGCAGTGTGTTCCTTATACCATTTCCATCATCTGAGGCAGAAACAAATATAAATAGCATCAGGAGCAAATAAAGTGGACAAAAAGAGCACGTCCTGGAGTCTTTCCCTTTCCGTGGGCTCTTTGTTTCACTTGATTGCTCACGAAAGGAAGAAACAGGAAAAAAATTGTGCATTGGTGTCGGGAGGTTCAACACTGAGATGTCTCAAGCCCACAGGCTTTAATCAAACTTGATGCCTCGTTAGCAGGTGGATTACTGCCTGTCCTGAACGACTCTCCAATTAGGCAGACAATAAAGATTGTCATTAGATGCCAAATTCTAGTTATTGCAAACTAATGTCTTAAAATCCTTTCATGGACAAATCTCAGCACTCATTATTCTAGTGACTGGTAATTATTGTGCATTTCAAACAATAGCCTGAGTTTTACAGACCATTTTGATCTTAAGATTTTTGGGTAACATAGAAGGAGGAAACAAGGGCCCACAGCACTTCAGTGTTTGCCTTTTAATTAGAGACTTTTCATATGGCTGCAGTTTCATAGTCAACGGATATATGTGTTTCTACATCGTGAATATGAATGACACTGGCTCACATGTATTGAGTGCCTTCTATCTGTGCCTGAGCCGCGCTCAGCCCAGGGCTGGTCACATGCCACCAAGGAGGAAATGGAAGCTTAGGGACTGTTTTGCTGTTTCAGAAATTTACACATTTAAAAGTAGAAAAGATGAGAAGCAATTAACAAATAAATAAAAGCAATGTCACTTTTTATCAAGAAGAGTAAGGGCATTGTGGCCTCTCAGTGTTTACCAGTCAGTGAACCGTCCGCTCTGGTAGAGGCATAGGGATGCCTGAATCTGCTTGACAGCACAGCTGCCAATTTCTTGACTAGAGTCATAAGGTAAGTCATGCGTGTGCTGCCAGTAAACAGCATTTCTCAACCTCTGCACTACAGACATTTCGGACGGGAGGGTTTGTTGGGCTGTTGGCCCTTTGGGAGGTTTAGCAAATCCCAGGCCTCTACCACTAGATGCCAGTAGCATTCTCCTTCCCCAACTGATGACAATCCAAAGTGCCTCCAGGCACTGCCGAATGTTCCCGACAACTGTTCCCTGAGGGGCAAAACTGCCTGGTTGAGAATCACTGCCTCAGGCTGAAGCTGGCTGCTCAGATGGGTGATCCAAAGGAGGCGTGCTGTAGGGTCTTGTTGCCTGTAAAGCCCCCAAATGTTCCAAATGGGTGGGCAGGGGCATCCAGTCTGCCTGGGGTGAATTAGGTGTCTTCTCAGACACTACAGCCCCACAGAGATCCGTGCCAAATGATCTAGATCCTTTACTGACATCATAAGGGTCCTAGTCCAGCAGTGCCAGACCTCCCTGCACCCTGGCACCACAGGGTCTTGGGACCTCCTGGGGCCTGGCTTTCACCCAGACAAGTGCTCTGCTTTTGTCAGTTCCAGGTGCAACCCCAGAATCAGGGTTCTTAGTGTTCCCAACTGATTCTACTTGGTAGTAAAGTTTGGGAACCACTGCCCTAATTGGAAGAAATCTGAGCCTCGACTTAACTTGTCTTCTGTGTGTCTGGCCATAACATACCTCTCAGAGACCTCAGATCTGCATATCACAGAGGCAGATAATATTCACCAGCAAAGGTTACTCTCCACCCTTAAGCCTCTGGAATGTCATGAAAACCACCACCAACAATAATTCCTTATGTCTGTGCAGAACTTTACAGTTTGCAAAATATGTTGCTCTAAAGGACATTATCCAGGATGCCAAAAGCCATGTTTGCCCGTGAAGTGGGAAGTTTGAACTTTGTAGTTAGAAGCACCCATGTTTAAGACTTGAATCTGCCCCTCACCAGCTGTAGGTCTGCCAGTTGGTCTCCTAGAGCCTGGATGGGAAGAGATGACCTCTGTTCAAAATCAAATAGAAAGAATGAGCAAAGTGCCAAAAATGGAAAAGCAAGCAGCAGTAATTACTAATAAAAGACCTGAGACTCTCCCCAAACTCCCTGGCTTTCTGTCCAAGAAAGATGAGGTAGGAGCTGGATCACTGATTCTGGTCTTGCTCTTCTATGTACCCCTGAGCAAGGTGCTAACTTCTTGGGTCATGCCTGGACCACCAGCGATCTTAACACTCAGTGACCAACTTGTTACAAACAGTGGTCCAGCAAGGCCTCACTGAAAAGGTGATATTTGAGTTAAAACATGATGGAGGGGAGAGCCCGCCATTTGGATACCTGGGGAGGTCCTGCCAAGAAACAGCAAGTGCAAAGGCCTTGAGGCAATCAGATGACTGTCATGTTTGAAGAACATCAAGGAAGCTCATGTGATGGTGCAGGGGAAGAAAGGGAAGGAGGAGGAACAAGAGATGGGGGGTCAGGGAGCCAATGTGAGGGGCAGAGGTTCAGGGACACCCCCAGGGTAAGGACTTTTACCCTGACAGAAGGTCTGAACAAAGGAGGGACATGATCTGACTTATGTCTGAATGGGGTCACACAGGCTGCTGTGCAAGGAACAGACTGGACAGGTAAGGGTTGAAGCAGGGAGGCTAATTAGGAGACAAATTACACATGATCACAGCCAAGGGCTTGCCGCCTCGTGGGAAAATCAGCAGACAGTTCCAACAGAGCAAGGAAGGGGACAACTCACAGCCTTTAAAGAGGGCTGGGAAAGAGACGCCTGAAAGTTGAAAGATGAGGAGTTGGTTTCTTGGGAGCTTCCTGCCACTAAAGTCATTCGTCACCATGTGCCCAGGCACCTGCTATTAGGCTTTAAAAGTCTCTCACTCTGGAGGCCAAAGCACACCCTGTTGCCTACAGCAGGGGGATCTGTGTGCATGTGTGGGCCCTATATGCAGTGGGTGGATGGCGGACACAGGAGATCCCAGAGGGACATACAGCATATAGCAACTCTACGAGGTCAGGGTAAGCCAGGGGCTTCTGAGGACCAAGCGGCCAGACACATATAGGAGCCTGTGCATGGTCAGAGGCTGAGAGTGAGAGCAGCCTGGGAGCAGTCACAGGGCGGGGAGGGGAGCCGGGGCAGGGGGCTGGAGGGCAGCAGGCAGCGGGACCAAACAGCGCAAGAGGCAGGGCGCTGGAGGAGAGCCGGCAGAGGCAGGAGAAGCAGGGGCGGGTAGGTTTTCTTATCCAAGCCAGGAGAGACTGTCAAGTAAGTGTCAAGCCCTGGAGAGGTAGGCAGTGAAATGGGATTTAAAGGAGCTGCTGGCACTTGGTTGAGAAAGACTATAAAGGCAAGGAAGTGATTGTTCCCCAAGTCAGAGGTGGGTGACCCTGGGGAGGGAGAGGGCGACGGCAGGGCCAGGCATGGGGACCTCTTGGGGGAGCTTAGAAGTTCTATTTCTTGAACTGAGTGGGGAGACAAAGGTATTTGTCTTATAATAACAAGCTTTACTTTTGTTTATATGCTTTTTTTAAAAAGAAAAATCTGTTTTACTTTACAATACAAAGTTTTGAAGTTGAGGCCTACTAGGAGGTGACTGGGACTCTGCCGAGAGGCATGGGGAGCCCAGGACAGACTGGGGAGGGGAGGAGGGGCGGGGGCGAGGGCGAAGGTGAGGACAAGGACAGGACATCGAGGAAACGTCAAGTTCTGGCTGAGAAAGAGGGAAGGCAGCCACTGGAGGGCGCGGGAGGCTCCGGGAGTGGCTGATGGCCCTGGCTCCGGCCAGGAGAAAAGCTGGTGGAGAGGGGCTGATCCCGCTCCTTCCAGCAGTGCGGCATCCCTCCCTGAGCGTAGCTGCTCAGTGCTTGGAATGTGGCTGAGGTAAGATGTGCCGTGGGTGCTAAACACATGCTGGAATTTGAAGACTTAGTACAAATGAGAGAATATGAGAAATACCTGAGTAGTTTTAAATGACAATATTTTACACATCTTGTGCTAAGTAAAATATATGACTAAAATTAATTTCCTTAGTTTTTTTCCTTTTAGAAGTGGCTTCTAGAAAATTCAGAATGACACATGTGGCACATATTATCACTCTATTGGTGATACCCTCAGCACACAGAGGGGTGTCCTTGCTTGACACCTGGGACGGTGTCCCCTGCTGTAAGAGGAGACAGACTCCGCACCTGCCTGCGGGAGGCCATGGGCAACTGGCCCTTTTTCCTCCACCACAGCCTCTCCACACGGTTCCCCAGCCAGCTGTCCTTTAGCTCCCAGAAGGTGTTGGGCCCCCATGCTCGGGCCCTCACACATGGCACATCCAGACTCTTGAGGGGTGCCCCAACCTCTGGGAACTCCCTCAGGGCCCTGGATCCAAGCTCCCCCTGGCCCCGTCCCACCACAGTGTATTTGCTGCTCTTACTCTGGGCCTGACTGTTCATCAGACTGGATGTTACCTGAGGGGAGCTCACCTCCCCGTGTTCTCGCGTCTCAGCACTGCCTGGCGCACGTCATGTACCCAGTATATGTGGAGTGAAGAAATGAGTGAGGCCCCGTGAGGTGGGTCTCAGGTACCAGGAAGGAACAGCTGTGAACAGAGGAGGAGCGTCCCCAGTGGGCTGGGCAGGGCAAGGAGGCGCCCAGGGCCGGCTGCAGGGAGAGGCTGTGGGTGGAGAGCAAGGAACAGCTGCTGTGGGAAGGGCAAAGGGAAGTGATGAGGCTCACCAGGCTCATGGGTCCATCCCGAGGACCCAGCACAGACCTGGGCCACACCACACATTTTAATGGCTCCAACCCACCTGCTGGGTTTGACATCAGTCAGTGGCTGGCATCTGCAAAGCCATCCTTAACAGGTTTTTTGAGGCAACATCTGTGACAAAACACTACTTTCTTTATAAAGTGCACATAAATGCTGTATCATGGACCAGGGTCTGGTCATCAATGGCACATCAGGCCCAGAGGCCCATGCATGGCTCTGTGTGAGCCTGTGATGGGCTAGGAGGTAACCTAAGAGGGCAGCCCCAGGGAAAGCACTGGCAATCACTGGGCCTGCAGAGAAGCCCAGCTCAGGGCTAAACACTGCAGAGAGGAGACCCACTACTCAAGGAGGGAATGGCATCAAAGTGAGACCAGTGCAGCCAGGGAGGCAATGTCCTAGACTGGGGGGTCAGCGAACATTTTCTGTAAAGGGCCATACAGTAGGTATTTTGGGCTCTGTGGGCCACAGGGTCTCTGTCGCAATGGCTCAACTCTGTCCTTGTAGCATGAAAGCAGCCACAGACAGCACGTAAACAAGGAGCGTGGCTGTGTCCCAATAAAACTTTATTTATAGAAACAGGCAGTGGGCTGGATTTGGCCTGTGCACCATAACTGGCCAGCCCATCTATGCCTCTCTAAGAAATGGGGCTGTCCTTCCAGCCTCAGAACGCTGACGGTCCCAAGGCTGGCTGCCATATCTCAAGCTCCGAAGGATCCCCTTAGAGAAACGCTTCCTGTCAGCCAAGCACTGGTGAGTTTCGGGAATATCCCACGTAAGAAAAGGGAGACTCAACCCACTATTGGACCAGAAACACGTCAAATGGTAATATTTCTTTGCATCAGTAAAATGGCAGCCTTATCTCATTAGCTGAGGTCGTTTTCCTCTCTGGCATTTCAGGAAATGTGAACCAAAGGACGTCTGCTGGGGTATCTAGAGTTGGGAGTGAGGGGCAGAGGGAATGTAGAAATAAAAATACCTTGCAGGCTTAAGAGCAAAGTCACTTTTTAAACCAGAGAGTAGCTCTTATCTGCTGTTTCCACCCTGAAGGGTCCCTTCCTTGTCCCTTCCCAAAGAGCCCCCGGCATCTCTAGTGCCCTGCAGTGGATGAGGAGCCTTCAGGAAAGAAAACCCCTCAGAGCTAATAAGACCTGCAAAGGCACTGCATGTAACATGGGGACACGGCCAGTGGGAAGTAGCAGGCATTCCTGGCAGCACAGGAACAGCGAAATGAGAAGAGGACAGAGAGTTAACTGGATATCACCCTGGGTCTGTGTGGGCAAATGTTTATGTAACCACAGTGGAGATGCTGTACTAATAGCAGCCTGTCTGCTTTAGAATGCAGTTGCCAAGCAATCCCTTTCCTCTCATGCCCAGGAGCCCTGAGATGTCTGTGATCGCTTTCTCCTGCCAAAAGGCTACTCACTGAGGTCAGCACCTCCACGTTGGCGCCTGTCAGGCAGAGGTAGCGGACCACGTCCAGAATCCCATTGTTGGCTGCAAGGTGCAGAGGCGTTCGTCCATACTGGAAGAAAGAAAAAGACCAAGGACAGTCCTCCTCATGACTGTTGCTGAGGATGACATGTACAGAGTGGATCCCACAGGGCCAATGTTGTGTGAGGGATCTCGGATCCATCCCTTCTCCTGAGGGAGGAAGCCAAGGAGAACATTTTCAAGTATTAGTCATTTAAAAGAGTAACTTCAAAATAAAACTTCAAAGGATGAACAAGTGGGAGGCTTATCACAGATAAGTAAATTAAGTTTCCTGCTGCGCCAGCAGAAAGGAGGCATGAGTCAGGGCTTAAAGGGCCCCAAAGTCCCAGAAAGATCTGCACCCCAATCCAAATTTAGACACAGTAAAGGAAGGAGGGATGGAAGGACGGCTGTTGAAAACACACTAATGAGCTGAAATTTCCAGGCCATGCCCATCAGGCCAACTTTTATGCCCGTGGTTCCCAAACTGTGTGCCAAGGCACCTCAGAGTTGTGAGGTGAATTCATAGGGTGCTGAATAATATATTAAATTTCTGGTGGAACCTGTGGGTTTAGATACCAGGTGAACTGCCAGCTCCAGGTAGTTCAGAGTCTCAGCATTAGATTGCACTGCCTTCCTTTTGCTGAGATCATGTCTTTGCATGGCGGGGTCTGGCAGCCGCTGTAATAAGCAAGTTTCTTGAGAAATCAGTGTAAAACAGAAAATGAGGGGGGTGATGACTGAATTGAGTCAAGGCACACGGATCCCATTAATACAAAATTGTGGTCATGTAAGAGTGAAATAAAAAGAATAGTTTCTTTTCAGTTTATGTTGATCTTTTTTCCTAACAGATCCTAAATATAAACATAAATTCTTACTGAGTGGTCTGGACTGAGCTACTTAATAGACAAAATAGGTGTTTCTTTTGTCCTGGGAGAACCATAAAGAATATTACTGAGACATTAAGGATGTTGAGAACTGAGAAAGTTTGGGTACCTGTTTTCTGTTTATTTGCAAATACAGGTTTTTGTTATGAAGTTACCACATTCCCATTTAGAATATCCCCATAACAGGATAGGAAATACGGTAAAAAACAGAGGTGCCCCTTCCCTGCTCTTCCCGCCCCTGGTGCTCCGACTGAGAGATAATCCTACTTACCCTTTGGTACATGTCCTTCCAAGCATTTATCTATGAATCCATTCAAGGAGATAAATAATTTGAAAAGCCAAGACATGCTCATACTGTCATGATCATTTTATTCTGTGAATACTTCGTCCAGGTCTGTAACTCAATCTAACACATTCTTTTAGATTCCCAAACACTATTCCATATGCGGATATGTCATCATTCATTTGCCAGCCATCTAAGGATGGATGCATAAGGGGGTTCCATTTCTTGCCTGTGTAAATAATGCCCCAGTGTGTGTACAAGTTCAGGCTATTTCTTCTAGAGTGATTTTGAAAGCATATATTAAGCTTTCAAATACCCGAGAGTTGAAGTGAGAAGGAAAAGAGGAGGCCTTGGAGATTTGGATGAAATGTTTGAACTGCGTGCAAGGAAGATGACCTTGGCAATGGAATGGAGGGTTCTAGAGCGGAGAAGGACAGCAAGGGAAGTGGGAGGGAGGAAAGGGACCAGGAAGTTTACACTTTTGAAGGAACCCAACCTTTGACAGAACAAAACCCTAACTCCTTGGCGGTAGAGTCCAGGGCTTTCACCCTCCAGGCCCAAGGCCCTTCTCAGCTGCATTCCCCCCTCTGCCCATTCCCTCCTTCCTGAATACCTATAGTGCTTTGCCGGCAGGGGCTTCCAGGGGCTCCCAGTCAGTCCCCAAACACACTCACGCACCACGCGGTCTGAAAGATACTCTCCCTTCTTCATCTGCCAAAGTCCTAATCATTTAAAATGATCACCTCTGAAAAGCATTCCCTGGCTTCTTTAATGTCCAGATGGCCTGAGCCTCTGTCCCAGCAGTGACCGCAGTGAGATGCTGTTCAGGGACAAGCAGCATGGGGCTGAGAACAACTCCCGGTGTTGTCCACAGCTCCCGCACACCAGGCTGTCAGAGAAGGGCACTGCCATGTGCTGGGCAGGCCTAGGGTGCTCATTCATGCTCACAGAGGTGTTTGCACATGTGAGCAGGTGCGTGTAGGTGAATGCATGTGTATGACATGCTTTATCTTCACTGGTAAGAAGAACCCACCCAGAGGAAGAAACGTTTATGGGCGTGCACTCTGCGCCATCCAGCTCAGCTCCCCCAGGCGCCTCCCAGCACGTGGAGTTCTACAGCCACTCTCCTGATTTTCACGAGAAGACAAAAATGTCTGCAGTCTGCAATGAGCACCAAACATAGTGCCAAGTCCCTGTCACATACTGAGGATAGGGGTAGGAGCTCAATGGCCATCTTTGTCTTGCAGACACTGAATCTTGGTAAGGAAGAGGCAGGGCATGGCACGGGAAAGGGGGTGAAGTCTGCCCGTGGGACACGGGCTGTCACTGTGCCACATACATGGTTACTAGGGTAAGTCCATGTAAAGCCAGATATGCTTTTTGGGGAAATAATGTCTTCCTCTTACTTTCTGCACATCTTTAAGCACTGCTAGAGCCCCACCCACTTTCCTAAAAAAAAAAACAGAAAAAGGAATAGAGAAACAAAGCTGACATCAACCCTTCTAAAGAAGGTGTGAGGCCCAGAGGTGGCAGTGCACTGGGCCTCTGGGCACTGAAGGCGCCCTGGGGGCCTGTCTGCAGGTACAAGAACCAGAGCTGCTTATCACCAGCAAGCTGATGCTCTGGGCTGTTTCTGAGTACTGGTCTGAACCATGCTGGTGATTTCAAGAGGCTGAAATTGTGCAACTAATGGTTCTGCTTCACCTGAGCTCCATGTAATGACAAAATCATCCACCAAATGCCTTCTCTGGGCCACATTCAGTAAGAACACATTTGTGGGCATATATAAATAACCATAACCATCTGCAGAATCAAAAGCATAGAGACTTTTCCATTAACTACACCAGTTGTTTTTAAACATGAAGTCTAGGATTATCTTGCTGGGTATTTCAGTGTACCTTGCATACAGGTATGGGATAAACACCTGATCCCTTCTTTAGATGAGTGCCAAGCAGTATGACACACTTTGTCCCTCCCCTTCACAGGAGACAGCTAAGCCCAGAAGCTGTGCACACACATCCAAAGCTATTCAAAAGAGTACCACAATGTTCCCTGAATCTGCTTTTTATTCATTTAGACACTCTTGGAAGGAAAGCGAAGGTCTTGATGTTGCTTAATATTATACTTGGCTTTCCCCTTAAGGCACTTACATAACAGACTTGGCAAGATTAGAATGGAATAAACTAAGAAAGCCACCAGCAGCTAATGGCTAAGACCTGGGATACTGCCTTTTCATACATCTAGAACGTGAAGATTACCAATTTCAATTTCCACTAGGATTAATCACATAATATACAAGAGGAATAATTTTTTTGTAGAAGAATAATTTTCTGGCTGCTTCAGATATTCTTTTACTTCAAACAAATCATCATAAAATTCTGCTGGCATCATGCCTGCCATTTATAAACAAACATTTCCCACACTTAAACAGTTAATTCTACTTGGATGTTGTTATTAGCACAATCATAACAGAACAGTGCTTGCTTACCATAAAGTTACATGGACAAAACCACTTGAATATCCATGTTCTATGGTACTTGGTGATGAAACCCTAGATGGTATTCAGGGAAAAGGGAGCATGTGAGCTAACTTACCTAAGTCAACATACTGGGTTTTTAAATCAACCTAGATGATGTAATTGTTTATTCTCACTTCTTTATTATTCACCAAATTACAGTGTGTCTTTAGTCTTACTAACTTTATTTAGCACAAGAAAGGTTATTTAGCACAAGAAACATTTGATCATCAAACTCTCAGGAGGGGAAACATAAGAAGTAAGAAATCTGGTCCTAGGAATCTCAATCATAAGTCATTAGCTCTTTTCCTGAAGATGTAGTGCTGCAGAAAGATACCCTAATTTATACCATGTTGTTTGATTCCTCTACAGGACAATACAGCTCCCCCAACCCCACCATACACACACTCTTTCAATGCTCATAGTGGTAAGCCAGGTATGAAGTATTTATGAGTGTAATAATTTTCTGTTACTCTAGAAAATTACTCCTAAGTCATATGTAAAATATGACTTAAAGTGGAGAGTCCTATAAAAAACAGCCGGTCCATATGAGTAATGCTGACTCTGAGCAATGAAGAGATGCAGAGAGAAACTTGGCCCAAACCCAGTAGCAGGGCAACGGACAGACACAGGCGGCCTCTGTGGGGACCTTTCCCTCCGGCGTACCTTGTTTGAGATATCCAAGCTGCAGCTGGCTTCACAGAGGGCCACCACAATAGGCACGTTGCCGTCTTTGCAGGCCACGTGCAGAGGGGTGTTGCCATGCCTGTCTTGGAAATCGACGAAACATCCCTGGCTGAGGAGAGTCTGGATGACCTCCATCTGACATCGTCTCACAGCAAGATGAAGAGCAATGTGTCCGTCCTGCAACAAACACCAGGCCCATGAGCGCTGTCCCTAGCACGTGGACCTGGCCACTTGCCTTTCCTGCCGCCACTGAGCCAGGCTTACCTGGCAAAAATCGCTCCCACAAAGTCTGGAGGAGGATTAGAAAACCCAAACTTTACTCCTGTGGGGCGGAGAAGAGGCTTCAGCCATTCCACTCTGACTAATCACAGGCTAAAGTGGCCATCAGTGTGATTAATCTAGGCTTCGCCAGCACTATTACAGAGAAAAACTCAACACTTCTTTTTATCTCTGAATTTATAGGACCTGAGTAATCATTGGTACTCTAATGGCCTGCTTTACCAGTTATTTGAAAAACACTTTCAAAAACGTTTGCTCAGCAATGTTTACTAACCAGTAGAAAGCCTATGATTTTGTTTTACATTAGGAGAAACCAAGAAAGTGACTGACATGATTTCTTCAAGGTCTGTCACATACCTGAGAAGCAAATAGAACGACCTCTGGCTCCCATGGAAGACCAGCCTGGGAATTCCTACCAATTATTACAAAAGCTCCTGGTATTGAGTCAGGAGCTAGGAAGGGTTTGGAAACACTCCTGGGACTTAGCTGCTCCAGGGTTTCTCTGCCCAGTGCTGCTGACCTTGTGGGCCTATCCCATGGGTGGCAGGATGTATAGCACTACTGGCCTTTGTCCATTAGATGCCAGAGGTGACCTCCACCCTCACCATGACCACCAAAGGATATCCCTGAGCCATCATCAAACGTCTTCTGGGCACAGAATTGTCCCCCATTGAGAACCACTTCTCTGTACCAACAACACCCTCCACAAATGGCAGTTACCAAATTCCTAGAGTCTCAAATCTAATGATATATGACATCACTTAAGTACAAGTTCACAATAAAAACAGATTATGCTGATTTGCTTAATTAAAAAACAACATCTAGTCTAGAACTGAGATTGTTCCACAATTATGAGTGGTTTACAGTCCCTCTAGGAAACAGCAGGTGATGGAAGTCAATAAATCACCTATTCCTTTGTTTACCTACAAATTACTAGTGTGTTGCCAATTCTAGTCCTAAATGAGGATTGTCTTGGGCTCAAAGATGATCACTGGACCTGCTCCAAAGCTAAAATGTCTAAAAATTAAGGAGCACCCTGAGTCATTCGGGCATAAATAGTTATATGCCACAAATGAAAATTAATTATTAAACTGAATCTAGAAAAGTTCACAGAATCTTTGGAGTAGAGCAGAGAAAGAATAATTACAATTTGCTGCATTCAAGTTTATTATTTTAGGTAAACTTGTCAAGGAGTCTTGTGGTTCCTCCAGCCCCTCAGATCACTTCTCAGTAAGTATGATGCATTCACTCACAAAGTACCTTATCAGAGGCATTAAGGTCGGCTCCATGTTCAGTCAGGCACTCCACAATGTCTTGGTAGCCCCGGGCAGAGGCTCTCAAGAGGGGTGTCTCTCCCTCTCAGTTCTTAATGTTCATATTGCAGCCTGCTTCACAGAGGGCTTTGGCCACAGAGTAACAGCCATGACAGGCAGCACAGTGTAGGGGGTTTCTTCTTCCTGGCCAAGGAGACAAATGCATAGAGGAAGAGAGAAGGCAATAAGATGTAAAAAAGGATGGCATGGTGAAAGTCCATGCCGAATTCAGCAATGAAGTCAAGGCAGTGGAAAGAAAGAGCTTGTAGTTACTGGAGACAGTAATGTGAAATAAAGGACACAGGTCTGATGTCTCTCCTTCATTTGTTTTCTTTCCTCAGTGCTTTTGTGCTGGATGAACTCGGCTTTCTTAGCATTTTACTGACAGCTGACTTTTTGGGAATCTACTGGAACCACTTCCTTAGATGCTTCTTAGGGCTCAGCTCTTCTGGACAACAGAGCCCCAGTGTGGGTGGATTTAAAGCATTTTTCCTGTAGAAGTGACTTCATTTTTACTTCATCTGCAACTGCTAACAGTGGGAGAATGCTTCTCTTAATAAGAATTCTTCTAACAGAATGCCTCAAGATTTGTGCATGTATCTAAAACAAAGATGAGCCTACTATTGCTCTGGGAGATGATTGTGATAATGTGTTTTAATGAGTCAAGCAAAGGGCAGGCTGTGAGGTCTGTTGGGCTGTAAGACCTAGATGCTCATGGTCAGCATCATTAGACACATATAATTCAGCTAAGAGAGGCTGCTGTAGTATAGCGGTTACAAACAGAGAACCAGACTATGTGGGTTTGAACCCTGGCTCCACCACTTATGGGCTGTGTGACCTCAGGCAAGTTACTGAACCACTCTTTGCCTCAATTCCCTCTTCTGTAAAATGAGAATGTTGATAATAGTAACATACCTCATAGGTTGTTGTCACTCCCTCCCTGCTTCTGACCCGCAGATAAGGGAGGAGACACAATGAAACATCGAAGATCTGAAAGGACCAGCCAGGGGACTCAAGGCTTCACTGCTCAAGAGTAATGCCCAAAAGGCACTTCTCATATTTATTGAGCAAATGAACTTGAAATGAACTCAAACATCATTATCTGGCCTTGAGTCTAGCCCAAGGACGCAATGCTTCTCAAGGATTCCGAAACCATGTGAAGGCGGCCCCGAGCCATGAGAACTGCTTTGGTTCTCATTCTGTTTTTGATCACACATCAAGAGTTATGGGAAAAACAATCAAGTCATGCGTATTTGTACATTTGATTTCTATATTACTTGATTTATATATTAATCCCATTAATCCCACGGTTGTCCAGAGGATTAAAAGAATGAATGAATGAATGTCAGTGCCTCTGAGGCCCTGTCCTCTGTAAACAGAAGACCTAATTTGGATAAAGCTCCAGAGGACTCAACCGTACCATCTGGCTGCCTGCCCAGAGCAGAACGAAGCGAGGACTTCCACTACCATGACCCACCTTGTCCTGGAAATTGGGGTTAGAGCCGAAGCTGCACAGTAATTGAACCACATCGGCTTAGCCATAGCAAGCTGCCATGTGAAGGGCTGTCTCTCCAGACTGCAAAAGAAAGGGCCATAGGTTCAGAGCTGCCTGTGGGAGAAGGATGCGAGGATGAGAACCCACGGACTGGGGGCCCACTCCCACACATGCCCTGCTCCATGTCATCAGCTGTGGTGGGGCCCGCCCCCCACTGTGCCAGTTGCCTCTTTGGTGACTGGGCAGGGGCTTCAAGTGGAGTGCCCACCAAGCAGCTAGGGTCAGACCCACACACCTGGTCATCCTGTTTGTCATAAGCCTGCCCCAGGGAAAAATAATTTTCCTTTCTGGTGAGGGCTATTCTCAGCCTTCTTTATATACTGATATTTCTAACTATGTGATTTGTTTTTGAAACAAAATTCCTTTTTTAATAGTAAGTTCTTTAAGCAGTTTCATTTATTAACAAGCTTCTCATTTCAATGTCTATGTGTACAGTGTTATTTCTTACATTATCAGAGATTTTAAAAAACATCACTGTTAGCCCATGCAATAATTTCCTGTAAATTAGTAATAGGTGCCACTTCCTTAGGATATTTTACTTTCTGTGCCAAAAAATTGTCAGAATAAACTGATTTAAGACGAAACAAAGCAAGATGCTTGTTGCCACTAGACAGAAAACTGCCATAAAAAATACAAGTATCTTTGATGTAAATGTCATCCTTAGCTATGGTACAGTGCACAATCCATACAACTACATGTGGTGGCCCCGAATGAACACGACAAATTAGTCTACAAGAATTAGAAGCAGAGAAGGGGGCACACTATACACAACATATGAGAAGGCGGGAATCCCAGGTGTGTGTTCCAGTCCTGCTGACTAAGCCACAGGATTGCTGTGTGGCCTGAACAGAACATGTTCACGTGAAAGGAAGGTATCTGCCAAAGTTGATCATTTTCATATTTTTGCCCCACAATGCCTTACTTTCCATGCACTATCTCATTAAGCCATTACCAGCAACTGGGAAGTTGGCCTTGCCACCCCCGTTTAAGAGGAAGAGGACGGTAAAGAGACGCAGCACATGACAGGTCAGTGAGAGATTCAGGACTCTGCTCGTTCTGGTTGCCTTCCTAGTGGAACTTTGAGTTTTCATGGTCAGGGGAAGACAATTCACGGCTCGCATATTATGCCAACTATCTAGCAGACTTCTGCAAAAAGCAGATTTTGATATTAGATCAAGCCAGCAGCACAAAGAAACTTAAAAATTAAATTCTCTGCAGGAAGATGCTGGTCCTGAACGCTTCCCGTTCTTTGGGTCCCGATGCACATGGCATGCTAACACTCAATGCAGCCTTTTATTATGTGCCCTGTCCCTAAGGGAAGTGGCCTTACCTTGTCTTTAACATCCAAAGGGCATCTGTTCACACTGAGAAATGTCAAGGTCTCTATGTGGCCATGCCGTGAGGCCCAGTAGATGGCATTGGAGCCACCCTGTGCAGAAACCAATGAAGAGTCACATTTCCCGAGAGCTGGTGGATGTGAACACGCCTCTCACCCAGACCCGCTCCATTTCCCTCTCCGTGACCCCACCCTCCAAAGGAGCATCTTCTAAGGGGAACGGAACCCCCATTTCCCATTTCACTCTTCAGTTCTGATAAAGGGACCAACTTAAATAAGATGTTAACATTCGGGAAGCTGGGTGAGGGGACACAGGAACTCTCTCTACTATCTTTGCAACTTTTCTGGTAAATCTACGATTATTTCATAGTAAGAAGTTGTTCTTCTTTTCTTAAAATCTTCATTTCAACCTCTGGTTAGAATTCCCTCTGTTGTCAAGGGTGGGATCCAGTCCACTTACAGCTCTGCAGGAAGTCTCTGGAGGCGGATGACACATCTACTGTAGTGACTATGGGCTGCTCATCAACTGTCTATACTTCCAGTGCAACTATACCTCTAAGTGTAGCACCCTTACTCTGTTGCCCTGATAAACAGGCAGGCAAATACATTACTCATGAGATTAATTAGATGGTGAAAACTTTCCCAAATGTGACGTCTGATAACACTGTTGAGTCAGTGTCATTCGTAAGGAGTGAGTCTGGGGTACTGCACAAAGAACAGCTGATGTAGAGCCAGCAGAGCCAAGCGGAAGGGGTGTCTGCCTCTCTCTTTTCAACGTAGGTTAGGTGGGGCCAGGCTATTTATAGGAAACCGTTCTTTATACCTGAGAAATGCAGAAGGGCACACAGGTATTTTTCTAAGTTACCTCTATGATCAGGGAATTTGGGAACACTTAAAAGATTAATTCCTTTGCAATGAAACAGAATAATGACTTTATCCTGGACATCGATTCTTGAGCCTCTTTTAAGGAGCACTTCCCGTTCTTTGGGTCCCGATGCACATGGCATGCTAACACTCAATGCAGCCTTTTATTATGTGCCCTGTCCCTAAGGGAAGTGGCCTTACCTTGTCTTTAACATCCAAAGGGCATCTGTTCACACTGAGAAATGTCAAGGTCTCTATGTGGCCATGCCGTGAGGCCCAGTAGATGGCATTGGAGCCACCCTGTGCAGAAACCAATGAAGAGTCACATTTCCCGAGAGCTGGTGGATGTGAACACGCCTCTCACCCAGACCCGCTCCATTTCCCTCTCCGTGACCCCACCCTCCAAAGGAGCATCTTCTAAGGGGAACGGAACCCCCATTTCCCATTTCACTCTTCAGTTCTGATAAAGGGACCAACTTAAATAAGATGTTAACATTCGGGAAGCTGGGTGAGGGGACACAGGAACTCTCTCTACTATCTTTGCAACTTTTCTGGTAAATCTACGATTATTTCATAGTAAGAAGTTGTTCTTCTTTTCTTAAAATCTTCATTTCAACCTCTGGTTAGAATTCCCTCTGTTGTCAAGGGTGGGATCCAGTCCACTTACAGCTCTGCAGGAAGTCTCTGGAGGCGGATGACACATCTACTGTAGTGACTATGGGCTGCTCATCAACTGTCTATACTTCCAGTGCAACTATACCTCTAAGTGTAGCACCCTTACTCTGTTGCCCTGATAAACAGGCAGGCAAATACATTACTCATGAGATTAATTAGATGGTGAAAACTTTCCCAAATGTGACGTCTGATAACACTGTTGAGTCAGTGTCATTCGTAAGGAGTGAGTCTGGGGTACTGCACAAAGAACAGCTGATGTAGAGCCAGCAGAGCCAAGCGGAAGGGGTGTCTGCCTCTCTCTTTTCAACGTAGGTTAGGTGGGGCCAGGCTATTTATAGGAAACCGTTCTTTACACCTGAGAAATGCAGAAGGGCACACAGGTATTTTTCTAAGTTACCTCTATGATCAGGGAATTTGGGAACACTTAAAAGATTAATTCCTTTGCAATGAAACAGAATAATGACTTTATCCTGGACATCGATTCTTGAGCCTCTTTTAAGGAGCAACTGTAGTATTTGAATATTCCCACAGCCAGCAGCAATAAGTAACAGAGGTGTCCCATGCTGGAATAAGAGAGAGAAGAAATACTACTTTTCAGGTTTAGCAGGGAAAGAAAACTGTCATTGCTGTTGCACACACAGGCACGTGACTACTACTGGGTAGCAGGCAGGGAGAATCAGGAGAACACACAGCACTTGCTCTTCTGGATTCACAGGTGACATTTTCATTTGCGGGATGAGTGCATTTAAAATTTCATGGTTAGAGGTGCAATAGGTACATGTGGAAAGGCCTTGCATGAAGAAAGGTCCTCAGTACAAAAGACCTTATTTCTTGCTCAATTCCCTCCCCAAGCTGCAGTGATTTTCCCCACAGTATGTAGATGGCAACAGGGAGAACAGAGCCGCGGATGTGGCCTTTCCAGCTTGGACTTGGAGGTGCAGTCAGTGTGACCCTCCCGCTCCCCCACTGCCCCTGGCAGAACATATCAGACCTTGTTGGGTTGATTGACATCATAGTTGGACAATGAGCCCAGGAGGTGCTGCAGGCCTGGGACGTTGTCGTTGTTGACGGCATGGATGATGGCTTTCATCACAAAGGAGTCCTCCTCATCCTGAGAGAGACAGTGAAGAGAAAAAGAGTTAGTTTGCTGGACACAATCCTCTTATCAACATAAGAGGAATCGATGCTCATTTGTTAAAAGGAGCACTCCAAGGAAAGCATGTCACCTCATCACCAAATCCATGGGGTCATGAAGGTAAGCAGGCTGCTTTCTGCTGCTTCCATGTTGGAAACTAATGCCATCCACTATTCATCACCCGGAGAGCAAGCAGCTTTCCAGATTTAGATTTAGAACAATAATTGATGACCGACTACTCTTTGTGTTTATCTTAGGAATCTTTCAAAATACACAGCCCCCGAAACCACTGTGGAAATTGTAGGTATAACTCAGCCTCTCATCCTAGATGAGGAAATCACAGAACCAAGGAAATGATGCTTTTGAATAAGAAAGTCTCAATTTGTAATTTTTCCAATTACGGGATTATCATTTCTTTAATTACTAGAAATTCTTCCTTCTCTAGGTGGCAAAATACTCTGAATGTTGGTCACAATTATTTTTTATAAATAGGCCCTAAAAGAGGAAGAAAGGTAAAAATAAAGGCCAGAAAAAGGAAAACAGATACCTAATTACAAAGGGAAAATAACTAGAGAATGTTGAACAAGTGTGTTAAATCTTTGCCACTTTATCAAAGTTTTTCATAATAAGATATTTCCAAAATACAGTCCACATTAAAACCAAGGCATAAGCTTGAAAAATTCCAAACAAAATTTCTGGATTGACAGAGGGATGGCTGCTAAAATTTCAGATCTGGAAAAGTGTATCTACAGAGGCCGCATCTCTGCTCGTGGTGATGGAATAGCGAGCATTCCTCTGCCTGCTTTTTCTTCTCTATGGATTTGAATTCAAACAAATTTCACGGAGTTCTGATAACATTTGTGTTGAATACATGCTTAAGAATGCCACTGGTTTTGCCACTGGATGGCGAAGAGACCAAGAGAAGCAGGGAGAACAGGAGTGGTGAACAGACAGTTAAAGCCGGGACCAGGAGGGTGGGATCTTCCCACCTGCAGCTCCTCCTACCCAGGCCCGAGGCCCTCTCCTGCCCTCAACTTTTGATTGCAACACTTGTATCTTCCCCCAACTGATTATTCAGGGTGATTTTAATTTACAGTATTTGCAGTATTTCATCATTCTCATTATTATCTTACTTAGATGAATAGTTCTTTTTTGTGCACAGACCCACTGCTACCCTCAGTTTCAAAACCAGCCTCTTCCCCTTCCTTCTACTCCTAATTTGCCTCTCTCTCTCTTCCTTTTTCTTTTTAACATCTCCGAGCCCTTTCCACTCTACAAAGCTAGCTCTGAAACCGCAGCGAGGCAACCACCTTCAGGGAAAGGAAAGAGTTGGTGAGGTAGGATCCCACCCTTGGGGTTCCCGGATTCTACTCAGGGAACACTGACTATTCAGATACTGGAGCTGGTTCCCACCCAACCACCCTTTCTGCCTTTCTGGAGTTCCCTTTACCTCCGTGGTTCACAAAGCCCCGTTGTCTGACCATCAGGGGAAAGTCTTGTTGAATTCAGATGTGTCCAGTTATCTGAAGAGTTAACCTATGATTAGGTTTCAGTTTGGATTAGAGGAAAAAGATTATGAAGTTGTTTTCAAGGGCCTTGGACAGTTAATGAGATGACAGCCAAGCAAGTGGGTTTAGCCTCCTGGTCTGCCACCGATAACACAGAACGCCCTCCTGCATTCCCCTCATTTCCTGGTGTGAGTGTGTGTGTGTGTGTGTTCGCTTGGGAGGAGAGTGCCTGCCCCTCTTGTACTATTACCCTCTGCCAGGCAACAGAGTGCTCTTGTTTTAGTTCATGAAAATTAGAATAAGCTCTTTCCTCTTCTACTGGTTAGTACTTTTATCAAACTGAGTTGGGGGAAGGAGGAGGGGTGGAAGTGCCAGAGGTAGTGGGGTGGAGTGGGTGTAGCGCCACCAAAACAAGGAGAAAAAAGGACAGAAGCAGCAATCGGACACACCAGATCAGCCACGCCACCTCCACGCCTCAGAGGAGGAGGAACACGCCGGACATGCCGTGACTGCACGGTTCCTCAGCGGCTGGACAAATCAAACAACTTACCCGTTCCAACTACACAGCGCTGAGAAAGACCCTTCCCGAGGCGGACCAGTCTGCTTACCAAAGTGTCGTCACTTCTGGCAACACTCATGTTACTTCTGGACAAGAACAACTGGGACAACCTTTGGCACAGTGATATCAAGCGGACGGATTGCTTTAAAAAAAAAAGAGGAGAAAAAGGCAAAGGAAGAAGAGAGCTTAGGTAACAAAACTCAAATCAGTGCAGATGACACAGTCTTCTGAGAGGCATCACTGCTGACTGAATGTGCTCGTCGGGGGAGTACGCTGAGTCGTATTTGCTTAAAGAATAGTTCTAAACATTTTATACATCCAGGCAACAGGAGAGATTGTTCTTCTGCCTTATTATTTTTAACCCACAGCTGGATGCCCTGCATCCCTTCTCTCCTGTTGTTCTCTCCTCCATGGGGAAGAGACCTTACACTGACAAACCCCTTGCATGCCCCCCTCAGAGCAGCACAGCATGGAGAGGCCTTGCCTTGTGTCCTTGTGCCAGGCAAGCTAGTAACGGCACCTACTGTGACCTACTGTTGAGCAGGTAGGGGACTGCCTAACCTGTACGACGAATGCATCTGTGCTTACTCTCAAAGGCAGAAGCAAAAGGTAAAGATTGTGTGTGTGTGTGTGTGTGTGTGTGTGAGAGAGAGAGAGAGAGAGAGAGAGAGAGAGAGAGAGAGAGAGAGAGAGTGACACTTAGGGTAGTTGGCTCTACATTTAAAGCCTTTTGAGAGGAAGAGTCACACTAAAGTAACCCAGTGCTGAGGTCTTCCTCATCCCTATCCTGGCACCCCCAGCTGAATGGGTATAAAAATGAGGCACATTTCTACCTAGTGGGGAAGCATAGCAGGTACCCACTTCCTCTGGGCTTGGTATCACCATGGGCCACAGGAAGCCCTCCTGTCACCTTCTTAACCCTGATTCTGACTGTCCACAGCTGGCTGGACCGCCTTGGAGAGCTGTGTCCCACACAGGCCCTGCAGAGGCCACTCACCCCACTAGGGAGTACACGAGACACACTGGACATGCACATGGCCTCCGCCCCTCCCCACAGACCACAGCTGGATTTAAAGAACCATTTACATAAGTTCTGAAATAAATGTAATGCCATGCTGCTTACCACAAAGAACAAATGTATTTAAAATGTGGCTTGTTGCAGTTAGAAAAAGACTGCACTATAATTTTATTGTGCTGGTTCAAAACTTGCCCTAGGAATGGTTTTGATTTTAAAAATGCAAAATTACATGTGAGAAGACGAGTTAAATAGGACTGAAATATTATTTTTGCTCGTCTTGTAAACAGGGTAATGGTTCAGAAGACTACACAGTGATTTTTTTTTGATGCATTTTTTTAATATTACCAGCATCAGGAGAGATGAGGACTGACCAGGGGGAGCACTACAGAGGAAATCATATTAGTGAATATGTCCCTATCAAATAATCTTACTTTCCATTTTTTCCGGGCTGCAAACTTCTTGAATTTTTCTATGTTTACTGCCGATGCTTTTCTACTAAGTGCTTGTTGGGAATCTTTAGGCTAAAATGAAAGCCTAACAAAAAAAATTTAGAGCTCTCAAATTATGGAAGTGTGTCACACAACTTTCTGAAACCTCTCAGTATTTGGGATACCTATACATTCATCTTACCGAAATAACAAAACAAGTTGGAATGATATACACGATATTGGAACTTAGTCCCCGGAGCCTAACACATGTGGTTAAGAGTGTGATGAACTCCATACACACTGAAAGTTGGAAAGTTGAGCTTGGATCAGACTGAGTTATAATTTCCATAAGAGAGTTTGGAAATGTCAAGAGTCATGATGAGATCATGTTAGGAGGCATCTGAACTTAATATCATCAAGTACTTTAGAGTTGGTAGGGACCTGAGAGGTCAGCAAATTCAGTCTGTCCAATAGCATTAGAATCTCTCGTACTGCATCATTTTCAGGATGCCATTTAGCTTTACCGCTGAGAGGAAGAGATACCCCTGCCTTCTGCAGGAGCCCAGGCAACTGCTGGGTGCTCCCACAGGCAGGGCTCTCTGCTTCCCAAGCCTACCTCTGTAACTGAGGTCACTGCATCACAGTCTGTTGATGGATTCCATGATTTTATTCTCTAAATGCCCTGTTCCTCCACCCTTCACCCTCTCTGCTCTAGCTGAAGCAAAGTCAGTTCCTGCACGCAATGCAGAGACAGGCAACAGACAGGTCATGTAAAGGTGTAAAACGCCGGGGGGTGGGGGGCCACAAGCTCTGGCACAAAGACAGCTGTGCCGCTTCTCCTGAGGCCTTGTGGAATGAGGGCTCAGTGTTGGCAGACCTTCAGATTTTTCAAGAGAAGCTGGATATCCAGATTTGATATATTTAAATTCTAGAAATCAATTCAAAAAATTCAAACCAAAACTGGTTGTTGAGGGGACTTGCCCTCCCTTTCCCCATTTTCAATCCTGCACCACGGTGGCTTACTCTTCTCCACGTCCATTACCACTAGGACACTGCTATCTGTCAGTTGTCTTAAAATATGTAACCAATAGCAAACACAATACCCCATACACGTCCTGTGCTTAGAACCCATGGTAACTAGTAATGCCCTAGGACAAATGAATTCCAGGATACCCTAGAATACCCAAATGCATCACAATATACAACTCACCTTGATTCAGGGATGCTGCAAACTATTTTGAATTGTCATTCTCTTCCTTTGTGGAGGGAGGGGAAAGAAAAAAGCAAAGCTGTGACCTGAAAGCAAACACGAAGGGTGTTCCCACGCTGCTTGGGCCCACCAAGCATATGCTATGGAAAATGCAGTTCAGAGCCCACTTCATGGAGAGAAGCCAGAAAACCCCCACGTTGGTGTGATGACGTCTCCGTGCCTGCAGGGACTGGCTGAGCAGGTACTAAGGGCCCTGCCTGCATTTCCTGAAGCGTTCCACGTGGCAAGTTTCTCTTTGCCAGGGAGACAACCCTGCATCACAAACGTGGCCACGTGCACGCACAGGTGCTAACCCTCGTCAAGCTGAGGCCCACGGCCAAATACCTTTCAGGAACAATGGACACTCACTTTGGATCTTTGATGAGGAGTTTTCTTATGAAATCTCTGGCTAGGGCACTGGTATTACTGAAGTACTCTTCCTCAAATTCATAGTTGACAGCAGATACATTTGCTAATGTTTCTTGCTTAGTGTCTCCAAAAAAGGGGGAGGCCCCACTTAGGCTGTTAATAAAGTAGGGCACAGAGCATGAATGATTACCTCATGTGCAGTCATTTCATTCCTATAATGTCTGATAAGGGGAATGAGGAGCAAGATTACAATCTGGTGGCTGGGTGGTCACCTCAGATTCAATTACACTTTATAGGACATTTACTTGTCATGCACAAAAACGTCAGCTTCATGCATAGATTGTATTTACACATTTAATTTGGAATAGGATCTAGTATTTTAAAAAAACCTGCTTTCTATTTTCTTGGCAGTGATGGACAGCAGTGCTTTTTCTCAGTGATTATGCTGTAGTTTATGATGACTCATTTCAAATTAGAAGAAAATGTTCAATTAGTATAAACTAAATCCATTTCGGGGGGGTGTAAAATGAGTATGTTTACATGAAAAGCATGCATAAACTGAAGAGATCAACATGACACAGAATGGTTAATAAAACATATGGTCTCAAAGGAAGAGGGAAAGAATATGAGTTGTAGATTTGGGTACTTATAGAATATAGGTTATAACCCCAATACTCCTAGACACAAATCGAAAACAAAAACAAATGTCAGAAGACTAGTAAAATAAATCAGAAAGATGACAACATCAAGGGCACTTGCTCCTTACTACATATCTGCCTCAAGACCCAGAGGTTCATAGTTGACTATCTCAGAAGCTGAGAGGAAATAAACGCCCATTCAGTTTCGGAAGGAAACAAACCAACCTATCTTTATAAACAAACCAGAAACATGTACCAGAGAAATAAATGATGCTACAGCAGGGGGAAGTTCGCCAGCGTAATGTTGGTGAGAAATTAATGACCACAGGAGTAAAGAAACTTACCAACAAACTTTGGTGTCCCAAATATGTTTTTGAATTCATTTCCAAAGTCAATTTTATGGGCCGACCCAAAGTTGATGATCTTGATCTGAGGTTTGGGGACATTTCTATCCAAAAGCATGATGTTTTCAGGCTTGAAGAAAAGAAAACAAAAATAGCACAGCCACGTTCATAGCAGTATTTGTCACAATCAACCCCAGGTGCATCAGATGATAACCAAAATGTGGTCTATACACACAAGGGAATGCTACTCAGCCTTAGAATGGAAGTAAATCTTGACACAGGCTACAACATGGGTGAACCTTGAAGACATTAAGCTCAGGGAAATAAACCAGACAAAAAAAAGATGAAGACTGTTATGAGTCCACTTAATATAAAAGTACCAAGGATAAGTACATTCATAGAGAAGCAGAAAGGTTGCTAGCAGCTGTGGGGAGGAGACGGGAGCTGGTATTTCATGGATATATAGTTTTTAGTTTGGGAAGACCAGTAACTTCTAGAAATGGATGGCAGTGATGGTGGCATAACAATGTGAATACACTTGATGTCACTAAACTGCATCCTTAAGCAGGGTTAATCTGGTAAATTTAACATTACGTTTATTTTACCACAATAAAAAAAAAGCTAATGTTATGCTGAGGACAAGGTAGGAGAATAGTACTTCCTTTCCCCTGAAAAATAGCGATAAAAAGATAGTTGCAAGAGAACACCAGGAAAAATGTCTTGGTTTAGGTTCTCGCAAGAGCAGATCTGTAACAGGGATCCAGGTGGGAGGGAACACTAGGGAGACTGCCTGGTAGAGGGATGGGGAAGCCGGAAACAGAAGGAAAGATGCCAGTAAGAACTGTCTTACTTACCAAGACAGTACAACACGGCGGGAGTGAATAGAGCCCAGTCCCTTGGGGAACTTGGGGGCAAAGAGCAGCACTCGAGAGTTTTCCAAATGTAGTATGAGGACGTGGGGATATTTATCCACCATCTCCCTGTGCTCCATGGCTAACAGCTGCTTCTCTGCACATTTACTCTGGCATTTCCAGCACCAGGGGCTAGAAACCAGATGCCAGGCAAGAGAGCCACAGGTGTGTATAAGTCTTTCAGTTGTAAATTAGTGAGTGTTTGGGGGATCTGGATGGGGTCTTCATAGCTCTGTCACAATAAGTGTGGAGAAAATCCTCCCTGCTCTGAAGTCTTATCCTAGTTCCAATGATCTGAATCATTCACTTGGCAAATGATCAACTTGCTACTCTGTGATTATCTTCTCACTGCCTTAGATTGTACCTAGAACTTTACAGTTCACTTCCTGTAACTCATATGTATGAGACCATAACCTCTGTGACAGTTGGGAACAGGATATGTCTTCTTATCTCCCACAACACCTTGCCTCCAGCCAGGCAAAGACCCCAATTAACCAGTCTCAGAATTTAGCTGGCTTGATTGCCAATGAGAGAGTCAGGCCCAGAAGCCTTTGCATCAAGATGGAGAATAGAGATCAAGACATCTTCTACCTTAAACACATCCTGCAGCCAAAGGAGGATGGAAACTGGGTGGCCAGTGGCCATGCAAGGCTGAAAATGCCCCATAACCAACAGCAGTCCCCCTGTTTAAAGATCTGGATGGTAAAAATCCCTTGATTCTTCACCAAGGATTCTTGAATACAACCATTAATCTTAAGCCTCTAGCCTACAAAGAGGTTTGGGAATCCCCAATAGTCATGTGTTACAGACTTTAGACTCATGTTACTGATTATACTGATCGTTTTGTTTGTTAAACCCATACAGGAAAAAAAGTGTATCCTTTTCAGATGCTTCAATTTTTCTTAGCCAACAGCCAATCAATGCTGTGACCAGCATAAGCTTCTATTCCTCTTACACTCAGCAATATACCTTAAGATCAAAGTGGGCGATCTGAAGGGAGTGTAGGTAGTAAACACCATTTAGAATTTGTTTGAGAAATTCAGTGGCTTTCTCTTTGGTCAAAGATTCCTTTTCAGCTAAGAAGTCAAACAGCTCACCACCTGCAACGCTGCAAACCAGGACAGAGGTTATTGGTGACAAGTCTGTCGCACACTGATTTGTTCTCACATAGACTGTTGGCACACTCAAATTTCAGGCAAAAAAACTGCATAAAGACATGCTTAAACTGATAAGCAAAGACTCAGAATTCTCCAGGCCTCTCATCACCGGATGAGAATCTGCATTCAGGTACATTTGTGCTTGAAAGCACTTGGGTATCATTCTCCTAATGGGCTGAATGTTCACAGACAAGGGGGTTTGGAGCAGAGATGTGATGGACGAAAAAAAAAATCAATGTATCTTTTTAAACATATTTAGAGGTGAAGTCTTAACACTGATTTAAAAAAAAAAACTACAAACTGACATTGTATAGAATTTATAGAATATGTCTTCTAAGTCCCATCAGAGAGTACCTGGAAAGTTCAGTTTACACGCCAGTCAATTTTTTTAAAACCCAATCACAATATATGGCCTGATAAGGACTTTTTCTTGTTTTGTATTTGTGTTATGTGTAAATACTTACATAATTAGAAAAATTAAATTTACTAAGGAATTAAACAAATATCTTAACTAATAATAAACATATAAAATTGAGATGCACATGGTTGGTTGGGGATTTATTTACTCAGTACTTCTGGCCAGACAGTAAGTCCCTGGAGGGCAGAGGTCAGCCCCTGGCTGTTGGCTCACAGCTGTCCCCACCTCCTGGCACAATGCCAGGCACACAGTATGAGCTCAAAATTCGTTTGTCAAGTGGATAAATGAACAAACTCTCTTAAAAACATTCACGGTAGTGATTAATGGCAAATAACAGGAACTTTTTAGTAAAGATTAAGTTTTTATAAGTTAATCTTTTTCAAGTTCAACCACACTTTCACAACATAATAATTAACTGCAATTATGCACATAACTGCTATGTTCATTATCTTTCTTTCAGCAAGGCTGCTCCATAAACATACCTACCACATCTACAGCCAGAATGAGAAAATGGGTGCTCATGAAATGAAACAATAACCACAAAGAAGCCATTTTTTTAAAGAAAGTTTCAGATCGCACCCCTTCACCCGCCACACTGCTGTTTTGGCTAGCTTAGCCCTGGGGCCACTGGCATCAGAACTGCTGAGCGTGTTTAAAAATGCAGATTATGGGCCTCACATGCAACTTCTGAGAGTTTACAGAGTGGGGACTGGGAGATGCGCATTTTCACAGGCACACCAGGTGACTGATTGTTAGCATGATAAAATGTGAGGCCCGCTTTCCAATGTCTTAATTACACCCTCCTGCAAGGCCTCACTGAGATTTAACTTCGGGATGTTTATCTGGAGTGAGGTGACTCCTCTACCTCTGGGGTCCCAGCAAAGGCCTCAGGCAGATCTGTGACACTCCACAGAGCCTCACCCAGCCAGGACAGCCAAGAGCCCACCTGGGTGGCAGGCCCTGCAGCTGGTACGAGCATGACCCAGCCTGGTGGCATCATAGAAAGGGGGACCCCCCCATTCCTGTGGAATGCCATGCCAGGGGCCCAAGGCAGGCTCCAGGTGTGAATGCCCCTTCCAGCCCTGCTTCTCCCCTCCCCCTCGCACCCAGTGGTTGGGCCGAACCCACACTTCAGGGGATGGTCCTCCTGTGCCCACAGTGCCGGCCCAGCCTTTCTTCCCTCTGCCCCCCCTCGAGAGAAGCGTCCTTGCTCCCACTCGCTCACACAGACTGTGCTCTTAAAGACATCCACAAGTCTCTGGACAATGAGGAATGCCTGGGGCTTGGCTGCTTGGAGTTGGCACAAATCTTCCAGCGCTCAAACAGCCTAGTGCTTAGTGAGGCCCAGTCCTTCCCTGCAACGCCATGGCTGCCCCAGGCCAGGCCCTTGTTCCTCCTCTTTAGCGGACTTTCCTTCCCTCACGTCTAACCTGTGCTTCTTCAGGTCTAGGAAGAACAGCCTATTCCATTCTTCTGAGGGCTTCCTGACACAGGACAGCAGAGGGTAAGGAGACCCCGGGTCACATCCTGTCCAGTTTACCTAATCTCACCGAGCCTGGGATCCCTCTTCTATAAAATAAGAAACAGCTGTATCACCCAGAGTTGCTGTGAGGTTCCAGGACATGTTAAGCATCCTTCATGTCTGGCTTCAAACCAAAAATCCTCCCCCAGCAACGGTGGTGCACTGGTCCAAGTTTAACAATGGGCTCTCTGGGGCAGGGGGTGGAGCACAGCCCACTCCCGAGGTGTCACATTCCTACAAGAGTCATTTCAAGCCATCCTGTGATAACAGTGGCTGTGTAGTTGGACAGGCACCTGTGCAAACAGCTCAGGGACCTGGGCCCAGCTCTTTGGCCCACTGAGGCACTCTTTATTTTCCAAAGATGGTGTAAGAGCCTGTCATGCCAAGCACTCTTCTGAGCTGTGATTTTGCATCTGTGGCTCCACCCCCTTGAATCTGGAAAGGCTGTGACTGCTTTGACTGCTCTGACCCATGACACATGCTGTGGCCACTTCAGCCTGCTTCTTCCCGGCCGGAGCTTCTGCATCCTGCCTTCATGTAAGCAGCATGGTGATCCTGAAACCGTCATGCAGCATGGAAGATGAGACATCCCTTAAAGAGAGAATGAAGCTGGGAGCATGAGCACAGAAGGGATCTTGGAAGTGGCCCCTCTAGCCCAGGAGGTCAGACTGTCTGAACCTTTGCAGAATTCTGGACCCACAAAATCATGTGCAAAATAAAATGGTCATTTTAATCCACTCTGGTAGACACTGTGAGCACCACCTGTGTTCCCCTTGGAGGAAGGACCTGCTGTCTCCACTGCTGGGGTTGAAATCAGCACAGCCCTCAGCCCTCACTCCTCCCGCACCCAAAGTCATATCCTTTCTCAGGAGATGCACAGCCAACGGCTGCTCAGGGTGGGAACATAAAGGTGGGGTTGACAAACTTCTGTGAACAGCTAGGAACTAAATATTTCAGGCTCTGAGGGCCATACGGCTTCTGTCACAACTCCTCTACTCTGCCCAAGTACTGTGAAAGAAGCCTGAGACCATACTTAAGTGAAGGGGTGTGGCTGTGTTCCAATAAAACTTTATTTACAAAAACAGATTGCTACCTGGATTTGGCCCACAGGATGTAGTTTGCCCATCTACCCCGGAGATAAAGGCTAGGTCATCTCAGCCCAGTCTGGGCTACTCTCAAGGGTCATTCTGGCTCCAGAACTCTCTGCTGGGCCAGCTGGGACTGTCACTGAGCTGTAAGGCAGCACAATTTCTCTGTCCACTCCTACTCCTTCCCCTCCTTTCCAAGTCTTGCTTCTAAGGGCAGTTCTTAATAAACATCCTACAGGCTCTTCATCTCAGAGTCTGCTTCCCAGGGAACCCCCACTGCACTGTACAAAATTTGGGGGTAGTTTATTAACAGCAGTAGGTGACCAGAACACTCACCATCTTAAACTGGGTCTGTCTACTTGGTTCGGCTGACAGAAATCACCTTTGCCTTTCTCTGGGCTGAGTTGCCTTGGGCCCTATTCACTCTTCCTCCCGAGCAGCTCAACCCTAAAGTGCTTGTCTGACCACACAGGTGAGAGTCAGAACAATCCTGGGGCCCCAGAGTGAAGGGCCAGCCTGCAGAGAGGCACTGCCTGATCAAGACAGAGGGAAAGGAAGCATGAATCATTGCAAATTTCTCCATCTACCCTTCTCCAGGCCCTGTGCAAACCACACGCTGATCACGGTGTGACATGTGCAGGGACTGGTTCAGCTTGACATTAGGATGGTTGGGAGAGACCCCATCTCACTGGCCTGGACCTGTCACTGGTCGCCTGCTGCCCTGTAGGGCCTTCATACATACTCAGCCTCCTTCATGCCAACATAGGAAGACAGAAATTTTAGCCATGAACATCTACTATAAAATATTTTGTCATTAATCACATGGAAATGAAATGACTTCAGCACAGTCTGGGAGCACAGTAAATATTCAAATACTCCCCAAATCTCAGAAGGG